GTTCCTTAATGACGGGAAGCATGCTCATTTATTTTGGTGTTTTTAATAACCTAAATTTCCTAGCACGGGCCTCGAAGGGTTTGTTGGAAAGAAATCCTGAACCATGAATGGGGATACCTATTCAAAATGAGATGGTCTCTGGTTTCACAAAGGGGAGTTTCCAGGGTGGCTACTCACAGAAGTCCCTCACTCCGAAAGTGAGGTGGCAAGGACACCACCTAGGGGAAAGGCTGTCACTAGGATCTCCTGCTGTTCTGTGCGCTTCGTGCACCGAGCACCCACAACACACCAGACACCGTGCAAGGTTATGCCTGGATGGGCGAGGGAGCCAAGCACACAAGCAGGGTGGCAGAGCCTATGCAAGGGGAAGAACACACAGCACAACGGCATGCGGGTGGAGCATCTAACCTGTCTTGGGGAGTCAAGGAGAACCTTCCAGACGCTCTGGCCTCCAAGCTTCATCCAGCTACCTGAAGGAATGCTCTTTTCAAACTGATTGTTAAGTATCTTGTATAACGCCAAGCTCTTCCATTTAGTTTCTTCATCTATAATAATAGATTCACTTCAGGGATGCCTGGGTGGCTCAGTCAGTTAAGCGTCCGACTCTTGATTTCAGCTCACGTCATGATCTCATGGTTCATGAGTTCGAGCCCCACATCAGTGGGGCTGAAACTGAAAGTGCAGAGCTTGCTTAGAATTCTCTCTCTCTCCTTCTCTCTCTGCCCCTCCCCTGCTCAGTCTCTCTCTCTGCCTTTCTCTGTCTCAGAGTAAATAAACTTAAAAAAAAAAAAATAGATACACTTCAGAAAAGTGAAAAACCAATCTTATTCTGGAGTAAAGTCACACATTAAATATACGCCTGGTGAATTGCAACATGGGACATGGGCTTGTGGGCTGCCGTGGCACCTAAAGGTGGATGGGGCGTGTAAGGGTTTCTCAGTAAAATGTATCTGTGTCAAGTTCTGGTATTTATCACAACACTAACATCTGTCTTAAAATATGTTCAGAGAGGGGCGCCTGGGTGGCTTAGTCGGTTAAGCGTCCGACTTTCGCTTAGGTCATGATCTCACGGTTCGTGGGTTCGAGCCCCGCGTTGGGCTCTGTGCTGACTGCCAGCTCGGAGCCTGGAGCCTGTTTCAGAGTCTGTGTCTCCCTCTCTCTCTGACCCTCCCCTGCTCACGCTGTCTCTCTCTCTCTTTCCTAGAAATAAATAAAAATATTAAAAAAAAATATGTTCAGAGAAGGCTTCGTAGAGAAGAAAAAAGACAACAGAATAGAGAAAGTAGGGTGATAACAAGAGAGAGTGAATGAAGACTGAAAATGGTTGGCAGAAAACAGAGGAGAAGGCAAGCTTGAGAGAGGAGAGGGTGGGTTGGAAGACAAGGATGAGAGGAAGAGGCCAGAAAATGCTGAAAACTGGAGCATAAGGAATCCAGTAGAGAAGTCATGAGACAATGAATGTAAAAGGAAGGAGCTACACTAAAGAACACACACTGGGAGAAAAACAAGACAAAGAACGAAGAAACTGAGGGTGTGAGCGTGCAGAGTATGGGGAGATCCATGCGTAAGCAGCCTGCCCATCTATTGCCCTTCGTGGAGGTGGGGAGCTTGGAGGAGCTCCTGACCACACGGGGTAAAATCAATGCCATGAGGAGCCGGCGTGCCCCTCCTATTTGAATATCTCTAGGGGAAAACTGGAGGAACCAACTGTGTCACAAGAGCCTCCCTGAGCCATGCTTCTAAGGGCACCCTTCTGTACCCTTCACCAATTTAAGACCAGATGGCCAAGAGAGCACAGAGCCTTCCAGAAGTCTTCAGGGCCTGGCCCCTTGACACAGTAGCGACATCTCTGCCCCAGCAGATTTTGTTCCATACATTCAAGCCAATCTCTGGAACAAGTGCCTAATGAGAATTTTTCAAGTGGCCCCATGATAGGACTGCCTAACTTGATCATAAAATATCTTCCAGCTACTCAGATCTTAAAATAGCAAATGTTCCCCTTAAGAATCTGTGTAACTGTTTTTTTCATGTGCCATTTCCTCTTTTCTGTTAGAAGACATGAAAGGCATTCCCTGGATTATGGTGGGGTTTATTTGAGCATTGCTTGTGCTGATGCAGACATCATGCTCACCACAGTGGGGTCTGTGTCCCTAAGACATCAGTCCAGACAAGAGACTAATAGCAAGAGGTGAACGATATGGCCGTGTTTGAACAGGGGGGTAATGTGACCACTGCAATTACATGGAGGACACTAATACAATTAACCAGAGTTACCAGCTATTATGAGGTCATTGTTGGCCAAATCCAAGAGACGGCTGGGAGAACTCAAGGGCTCCAGTTCTCCTCACTCCACTTCCAAGGGGACGGTAAGACATCAAAGATAATATTACATTCTCAAGATCCCATAAAGTTAGTCATCCCATCAGAAGATGGAGCTCTCATTAGACAGGGCAAAAGAGATACCATTTCTGTAATTCACCCCAATTCATCCTTTTGGTTCCATTGCTGTCTCAGAGAGATTAAGGCAATACCCAGAGCCACCTTCTCTCTAGAACTGTCCAGCCTTTGGAAGGCCAGATGACATAGAGGGAACCTCAGAGATGAGTGAGCAACCCCGATCGAAGAAGACTCAGAATGGGCTGGATAGGCTGAGATAGATAGGTCAGCGCCAGGCTGACCTCCACCATAAGCCCTTAACAGGGTGTTGTTCTTTCTAATGCCTCAGAAATCTCTTGGGACATATTTTCTTTTTCTGGCAGAATGACGGTAACTCTCAGGAGTTATCTGTTGGATGGACTTCCTTTGTCTTAATCCTGTTTGCTCAGCAAGAGTGAGTAAGAGGCCAGGAGTAAGCAAATCAGGATACAGACTTCCAAGTTCCCTTCAACTATAAGGCTTTATGAATGGATAGAGGGACATTTTAGCTCTTCTCTGGGTACAAAGGAACAGAAGAACAAAGAGCATTAACTCAGAAAAAACAAGGCATGAGTTGAAGCCTAAATCTATAGTAATTCCATGACAAAAGCTTATTGTTAATTAATAGTTTATTGAATGCCTTCTAGATACCTTGTAAATAGTTTATTGAGAGTCTAAGTACTTATATATATTATACCATTTAGTATTTACTAAAACTCTATAATGAACATATTACACTCAACTTATAGGTGAGGAAACTGAGGCACAAGGAATTTAAATAGCCTGCCCAAGGTCTTACACTAGTAGGCAGCTGAGCTAGATTGGCTTGACCTCTGAGCTCATCACTGTCACACTGTCTCTTGGAGAATATCCATATAATATGATTGAGCCTGTCACTTAGGTCCCAGAGCATCTTCCCTACAGCCCTGGACAGCTGCACACACTTCTGACTCTCACTGGGGGAACTTCTCCCAGTCAGGTGCATGCTGGCTGGCCAAATGAGACATGATTGGGAATAATTGTGACATGATATGGTCTGGGATGAAGAGCAGATGGGACTTGAGTGCACAGAAACCCTTTGGGGTCTGATTTCAAGGGAAGGAGACATGGCCATCTTAACGATTTGGCAAGAGGAGTTAGACAGGAAGGGTGACAGCCATGGCTGATGTGGTTGGCAACAGCTAAAACTGATAATTACCTCCTGCCCACAGTTTGAAGTCATCATTCTCAGCATGGACAGCCCTGGAGCCCAGGACCTAGATGGGGTCATATGGAAGGGACAGAAAAGCAAGGTCACGGGGGCCATCTCTTTGGAAGAGTGTGGCTGAGACAGACCCACAGCATTTCAGCTTGCATTTCAGACCTGAGCACCATGAAGAAATTGCTGACCCTTTTTGAGCCTTGAGTGGGAGTTAAGTCTCTTCTAATTCTAAAATATTCTGAGTTTACTCAGAGCCTATTAAGCACTCTACATAAAGGTATCTTCTCCATGGCAATTAAAAACAAAGGTACCTCTTATAAGAAATGGAGCAACACAGGGGTTCAGTTCAAAGACAGGCATACATTGGCATCCAGTTTGTCACCCTGAGGACATTAGGGAATGGGTCTCTTTCTTTCCTTCTCCTGCATACCAATCAGCATGCCTTTGGCTGCAAGTAAGAAAATACCCATCCAACAGACTTAAACAATATGGAAATATATTTCATAAGAAGTCCAGAGGTAGGCCAGCTCCAGAGTGAGTCAGTTCATCCTCAAACCCAGCTTTTTTCTATCTCTCCCCTCTGCCATTCTCTGAGGACAGATCTGTTCTCAGAAGTGGGTTTTCCAGACAGTTACAAAGATGGCTGCTATATTTCTAGGTGGTGTTGTCAGATACTACAATGTCTAGGAGAAGAAAAAGTCAGTCGTTTCTGATGCATTGCTTTTTTTTAAAAATTTTTTTAATGTTTTATTTATTTCTAGGAGACAGAGAGAGAGACAGCGTGAGCAGGGGAGGGTCAGAGAGAGAGCCTGAAACAGGCTCCAGGCTCTGAGCTGGCAGTCAGCACAGAGCCCGACGCGGGGCTCGAACCCACGAACCGCGAGATCATGACCTAAGTGAAAGTCGGACGCTTAACCGACTAAGTCACCCAGGCGCCCCCGATGCATTGCTTTTTTAAGAGGATAGAAACAAAAAACCCTTTTCCAGAAGTCCTTTCATATCTCATTGTCTAGAATGAGCTCATATGCCCAATCACAACCCATCACAGGGAGGAGAGTGATACCACCAGCAATGACTCTGACTATTGAGGATTAACAGAGAGACTTCTGAAGAGGCAGAAACCTGGGCAAAGTCAGGACTCCAAAACAGAAAAGAGCTGGGAGTAACTCTGCAGGTGGTAATTGGCGGCAAAGACAGCTATTTGATTTCCAGTACTCATTTTCCTCTTCTTCCTTAACGACGTAAACCCTGGTATTTAATTGGGCAGAATAAAGACTACATTTGCCAGCTTTCCATTTTCACCACTATCTATGGCCATGTCGTTAAATTCTGGTTGCTGAGATATAAGCAGGGGGCTGTATGGAACTTTTGAAATGTTGCTTACATGGAGCTAACTCAGCTTGGAGGCCTGCCAGCCATGTTCTGCTTTCCTCCTTCTTCCAGCCTACGACCCAGATGTGATGGCTGGATCTCCGTCAGCCATTTTGGATCATAAGTTCTCCTAGAGGATGGAATCCACATCCTAGAATACAGTAGAGCAGAAATACAGGAGCTTAGGTGACTGGTGACTCCATGACCATCAGACATGCCTTAGACAACCTATCTCCACACTTACGTGGGAGAATGAACTTGTGTATGTTTAAGCCTTTATTTGTCTCATCTGTTGCTCACCACCAGTACCATTCTTAACCGATACAGCAACCAGCAATGAATGCTACACCTCAAGAGTTAAATTATGTGGGTTAACTGAGTTGATGCTCTCAGTCCGGGAAGGCATGAAAGACACAGACAGTGAGAAATTTTGGAACCAAACGGATCTGAGTGCAAATTCTGCCTTTGTCACTCATGACCTGTGTGATCAGTGGTGAGTGCCTTCACTTCTCCAAGCTTAATTCCACCATCTGTAAAATAAAGCTGGATATTCTTACTGGTCATGGGAGTTAACATAAGAAAACGTTTGCAAGGCACTCTGTGTTGCAATCACATGGAACAGATCCGCAATAAGTGGTCCTAAATGTTTTAGAAAATAATCATATGCCTTGAAGGACCTAGAAATCACCGAGCCCAAAACTCCCATGTTTATAGAAGAAAAAACTGAGCATCATAGAGGTGAAATCAGATTCCCAAAGGGTCTCTGAAGTCCCCTGTGGGAAGCACAGTTGTCATGCTTACTCACAAAGGACACTTTCATCATTCTGTGCCCTGCGTGGCATCTACATTGCCCATGGCCCTGGGGCCCCAGGACTCCTCTTCTGGATGCACTGCCCAACCCCTGATGAAGGACAGATATTCAGCCCCGAGCATCAGCCACCGAGATGGTGTTCTTTTCCTGCACTGATACATCAGTCCCATCATGTGGTACTACTTTAATTGCTGTCCTATTTTTGGAAAAATAGATGGCTAAACATAAGCCATTTTTTCTTAGCATTTTTTTGGTTACTGAAGCAAAGTACTCAGTAAATAAGGCCTGATTTGCATGACATTTTGCATGAATAGCGATGTTGAATGAACAAGGTAACAGACTTTGAACTTTTGTAGGCATTCTATTCAATTTTAAAATGATTTTTTTTCGTTAATTCCCAGTAGATTTCCACTGACATTAAAATCGACCACAATTTGGGAGGCCTCTGGTGGCTACAATGAGAAAATACAAAAGCAATTATAAGCCTGTGCGTGTTTGTTTAGCTAGGTGAGGTATGCCTTTACTTATGCACATTCGTCTACGCAGGTTTTCCAGGCATGGGGACCTGGGATCAACTCTAATCCTCAGGTAGCGTCAGAGTTTTAGGCATTATCAGGTTCTTGCTGGGAGCCAAAGAGGACTCATGCTGGGCTTTCCCAGGTCAGAACTGGTCCAAACAACGCCCACAGACATTCAAAGGCAAGAAAACACTGGAAAAGAGAAATAACCACCAATCTTACATTCTAGAAGTAGTTATGTATTCCACTTTGGGCCGGTGTACTAACTAGATGGCAAGTTCCACACTGAAATAACTAAATAAAAGACTTTGGTGTCTTTTCCACCAAGCACAATCCGAATGCCCCAGCACTCAAGAAATTTTCCCGGTGTGACTGTTTGTTCACATAACTCACCCCGGGGCATAATCGTACAGCACGGCAGTGATGGATGACTAGGAGAGAGCACATAGAATAGAATAATAATTCTACTCTGGGTTTAAATAATGCTTTTCCTCCCCAGAGGTCTGAAGGTTTTCATATAGATTCGAAGGTAAGGGTGGGTATTATTAACCCCTTTTGTGTATGTGGATATAAAGATGTAAGTTGTTTGTCCAGAGACGTAGAATAAAAGCATATTCGAGGTGAATAATCACCTTTGATATTATCTCTTTTCTTAGATGGAGAGACTGAGGTCAGGATGGTGACGTGATTTTTCCAAAGCTGTATCATTAATGGCCAAAAAACACCCCTAACCCTTCCTGGAGCCGGAAACAAACATGAAGTCTCCCGACAGCCTGGTAAATACCTGCTCCATTTTCAAGTCCAGCTTTTCGAGTCCATTTTCAAGTCCAGCTTTTCCAGAAACATAGCACCAAAACAGGCTTCCCATCGAGCCAATCGAGGGCCGAGTCTCCCTGGGGTCAGCAGGGTCATGGTCAGAGATAACCTCTGCTTCCAGAATCCCAGGGTGGGGGGAGCTATTTCACAATAAAAGTAGGTAACACGGTAACCGGAGAGATCTCACAGGAGTAAACTTTCCCCAAATTTATATACAGACATCCCCTCTCCATATTATAACAGCATTCAGATTTCCTGCCTAGCTCTGTCTTTCCACCGTTTCCATAGTCATCCACATCCCATAAGAAGATGGGATGCTGCCGAGCGTGGGAGGAGCCTCCGTGGATACCTGCCTCAAGGATTCTCTTCTCTCCGGATGCCACCTCCTTCCTGGGCTTTCACGCGCCGTGATATGTAGTCCAGACATCCAGCCTGTGGAAAGTCCCATCAGGATCTGGATTCCCCCAAGGACGAAGCTCCAGGGTCCTCGCATGACGTGAAGCCGCAATGGCTGGGCATTGCTCTGGGGCTCTTGGGCAGCAAGGGGCCAGGGTGGCCGGTGGTAGGGGTGAGACATCATAGGCCACAGAAGAATGGCCGTCGTGCTACGAGAGGGAAAGGAGGTGTCATGGTGTCTTCTCTCTGGGCAGCTCTATCAGAACAGCAGACCAAGGTTTGCAGCTACACAGAGCCCGTGCTATCCCTGCGTACCCTCCTCCCAACATCTTCCTCCACATCCTCTGGCTGTAGAAGCTTCTTCCTGCCCTGGGGCAGCTACCTGAAGTCTGTGGTAAACTCTGCTCCTACTGCCAAGCAAGGTAGAAAACACTTGGCCTCCTTCCCTCCAGCCCCCTGCCTCATGACCCCCACTTACAGCCTCCTACATTAGCTAAAACCTGTTTCCCTTGCTTACAAGAGAAAGGAGGGTTGTTCTGGAGATTACTCACAGGGCCCTCTTCTCTCGGATATAAATGTGCCTCCCAAGGTCCTGCATCTTCGCATCAGGAATAGATCCTACTTAGCAGAAATGGGGACGATAAAGAGTTTTAGTTCTAAATCACGGTATGTTCTAAGGTACAAGGGCACATATGACATCACCAATAATTCAGATATCACATAAATATTTACCACACAAAGCCTCTCTCCAGAGGAACAGAAGAGAAACGATGAGTAAGTACATGGAGATGTCTGCTGAACTCTTGTACCCTGCTAGAGGGTGCTCAGTTCGGCTCACCCCAGTTTTGTGCCCGTGCTCCCCAGGTGAGCTTCCCCAACAGGGTATTTTGTCAAACTTCTCGGGACAGGTAGCTTTTTGGTGAGGTGCCCTTGACCTATGAACTTCAGTGACATGTGCCCCATTGTGTCCCCCCCCCGCCCCCCACGTCCGGGTTCCCACCCGGCAACCCACCACAGCGGCGCTGGCCCGAACGCATCCCAGTGCTGAGTCCTGGCTTTCTTGGGAGCTGAATGTGTAAGTGGACATCTGCTTTCCCTTCCTCTCCCGCCTGCTGTCCACACTTGGGCCACTTCGCTGCTTATTAGCACTTCAGACGGAGGCCATGAAGGAGTCCGTGTGAAAATCTGATTCCTCAGTTCTGCTGTTTTCTGGAAGCAATGGTGAAACACCAGTTGCCAAACCAGGCAAAGCCATTAGCCATTGAAATCTGTGGATGGAATTCCCCCTATTTCCTCACAGATAATTGAAAATTGACAATAAAGGTATTTTCTCTTCAACTTTCTTCAGAAAAAAAAAAAATTTATTTCTGATGCCAGCTTCCTGGGGGTGGGCCGGGACCCACAAAAAATCCACGGCTCTGGCACGCCCGAAAACCGGAAGCTTGGTGAGTGAGGCCACACACCGAAGACAATCCCGAGGTCTCTGGGCTCACAGGGAGGTGGGGCCCACCTCACCGTCCCTCGTGCGGTCCCTTCGTGCCCACCTGTGCACCGCCCCCGACATCCGACGCCAGCCCCAGCCCACCCTTCCTGTACAGGCTGCACCCCCCCCCCGCAGCCCTGGTCACACCGCCTCTCACCGCCCACGATCGCGCCTCCCCCTCCTCCCCTCGCCCCTCTTCCGTCCAGGCCCAGGTCTGAAATCCCTTTCCCGAACCCAAGCCTTCAAGGCCCGGCTCAAGTCCAAGGGCAGCACGAAGACCTCAAGCACGGCTTTGAACCCTCCGCCACAGCCCCAGCGTGCCCTCTGGGCACATCCTGGGGCGCTTCGTGTCGCGCCCCCCCCCCCCCGCAGGAAGCTCGGCCTGGGCCCGGGCCAGGCCCTGTCCCCGTCGTCCGGCGACTGACGACGTCACTCTGTGCGGTGTCTCTGGGTCCGCTTCTGTAAACGGACCCTGGAAATAGACTCTACCTTCTCCATTCGTCCTGAAACCGAAAGGAGAGAAGACTTCGGAGCGCTTGGCACAGGGCCAGGCAGAAAGCCAGTCCTGGGCGCGTGGCGGTTGGGAGCACCGTTGGCGACGACCCCACCCCACCCGCCCAGCAGGGCGCGGCGCCCGGAGCTGCGGTCAGCCACGTCTCACGTGTGTGCACGGGCTCCTCTCTCCCCTGGAGGCCTCAGGAGCACCATCAGCCCCCAGCGACCCGTCGCCCTCCTCCCTGAGGCGCGCTTCACCTCGGGGGGGGGGGGGCGATTCTCCTGCAGACAGGTCACCAGGGCACCTCGGAACCTTACCTGTCCCCCGACCGGTCAATGTCTTTGGACTTCAGGCGGGCATCTCCGCCCGCTTCGGTTACGATTAGAATTAAATTACACGCCCTTCAGAATTGACACTGCATAGCCGTGGCACCCTTAGGAAAGCGACCACCGCCGCGGCTCTGTCCTCCCTCCGCTTCTCCCTCTTCTTTCCCGGCGTCGGCGGGCTGCCTGCAGCCGCCGCGACCGCCCCGGGCGGCACCGAACCCCCCACACCGGCTTTGCAGACAGCGCCACCTTCTGGACGCAGACTCGGTGCCGCTTCCCCTCCCGGAAGAAGGGGTTTGTGCACCAGGATCTGGCCTAGGGTGAATGGCCCTGACCTCCTGGTAACACTGCATTAACCGGACAGTTCTGCTGCCGTTCTGCACTAGTTAATATTTTCTTTTTAAAAAATTTGCTTAAGTTCATTTATTCATTTTGAGAGAGAAGGGGGGTGGGGGTGGGTGGAGAGCAGGAAAGAGAGAATCCCAAGCAGGCTCTGCACTATCAGCAGGGAGCACGATGCCCGGCTTGAACTCGCGAACTACGAGCTCATGACCTGAACTGAAACCGAGAGTGGGATGCTTAACTGGCTGAGCCAGCCGGATGCCCCAATATTTTCCTTTTTAAAAGCAAGGAGAGGGACGCCTGGATGATTCAGTCGGTTAAGCGTCTGGCTTCAGCTCAAGTCATGATCCCGCAGCTTGTGGGATCGAGCCCCGCGTCGGGCCCTGTGCTGACAAATCAGAGCCTGGAGCCCGCTTTGGATTCTGTGTTGCCTCTCTGAGCGCCCCCCCCCCCCGCCTCCCATCACGCTCTGTCTCTCTCTCCAAAATAAATAAACATTAAAAAAAAAAATGTTTTTAAAGCAAGGAGACACACATTGTAAGAGAAGGATAAAAACAAAAGATGAAGGGCCTAATGTAAACAAGACCTATAAATTAAGGAAAACAAGTTCCATCTTAGGCAGTCTTTTACCTTAAAAATGTGAAGTCTTGGGGCGCCTGGGTGGCTTAGTCGGTTAAGCGTCCGACTTTCGCTTAGGTCGTGATCTCGCGGTTCGTGGGTTCGAGCCCCGCGTCGGGCTCTGTGCTGACTGCCGGCTCGGAGCCTGGAGCCTGTTTCAGTCTGTGACTCCCTCTCTCCTCTGACCCTCCCCTGCTCACGCTGTCTCTCTCTCTCTCTCTCTCCTAGAAATAAATAAAAATATTAAAAAATAAAGTGAAGTCTTAACAGCGATGACTGCACATTTACATTTATTTTTTCATCTCTTTTTTTACTCTAAAGCAACTTCTCATGGGAAAGCGTCAGCTTTAGAATTTGATAGAATGGAATATCTTTTTGCACTGATATAAACATAATTACTGGTCTAGAAACCTTGCCCAAGTAAGAGACAAAAGGACATTAACCCTCCTAGTGATGCCTAGAAGTAGATTTGGGTTCTTCCTCTCCTAACAGACCTCGTTATGATAGGAAAAAAACCACCTTTTAAAAAAAAATTTTTAAGTTTATTTATTTTGAGAAAGAGAGAGTGGGGGAGAGGGGCAGAGAGGGAGGGAGAGAATCCCAAGCAAGCTCTGCACTGTCAGTGCAGAGCCTGACGTGGGGCTTGAACTCACAAACCATAAGATCATGACCCGAGCCAAAACCAAGAGTTGGGTGCTTAACTGACTAAACCACCCAGGTGCTGCCTAGAAGAAACATCTTACAGACAATGGCTCCCACTTCTCTTTGGGTCTCAGGGAAAAAGTGCAAGATGATATCCTAGCTACCCTGTTAGCCTACATTTCCTACATGAGAGTAAGTCACCTTAAAGAAAGGGAAGTTCTTTCTGTTTGAAAGGGAGATTTCTAATTGCAGATTTTCTCTTAGCGGTGTTGAATTTGTTATTTGCTTTGTATATAAGTAATTCTATTGTTGGTGATTTAAAATCAGCAAAATAAATAATAGCAACTAAAGGAGCACCTGGGTGACTCAGTCAGTTAAACATCTGACTTCAGCTCAGGTCATGATCTCATGATTCGTGGGCTTGAGCCCAGGTCCGTCTCTGTGCTGACAGCGTGGAGCCCACTTAGGATGCTCTCTCTATCCGTCTCTCTCTGCTCCTCCCCTGCATGCTCTCTCTTTCTCTCTCCCTCTCAAAATAAATAAATAAACTCAAAAAACTAGGAGAGGTTCCCAGGCAAACAGTATGTGATGGTTAATTTTATGTGTCAATTTGTCTGGCCTTTGTGCCCACATACGGTGTCAAACATTATTCTGGATGTTTCTGTGAGGATATTTTAGAAGAGATGAACATTTAA